GGCTACGGCAGCGCCTTCTTCCCGCGCAACCGCAGCCTGGAGGACCACCGCTTCGAGAACACGCCCGAGATCGCCATCCGCTCCCTGGACGCGCGCGGCGACCTGGCCAAGCTCTTCACCTTCGACCTCAACCCCTCCGACGACAACATCCTGAAGATCAAGCAGGGCGCCAAGGAGCAGCACAAGCTGGGCTTCGTGCGCGCCTTCCTGCACCCGCCCGAGCCGCCGCGGGGCGCCCCGTCCTACGCCTACCTGGCGCTCAACAGCGAGGCGCGCGCCGGCGACAAGGAGAGCCAGGCGCGGAGCCTGCTGGCGCGCATCTGCCTGCCCCGCGGCGCGGGTGGCGACGCCAAGAAACTCACGGAGTCCTACATCCAGCTGGGTTTGCAGTGCGGGGGCGGCGCGGGCCGCGGCGACCTCTACAGCCGCCTGGTGTCGGTCTTCCCGGCGCGCGAGCTGCTCTTTGCCGTCTTCGAGCGGCCCCAGGGGGCCCCCGCGGCCCGTGCTGCTCCCGCCGCTTCGTGGAGCCAGCCCCCGACGTGGTAGCGGTGCTGGACAGCGTGGTGCAGGGCACCGGGCCGGCCTGCGAGCGCAAGCGCAACATCCAGGTACGTCCCCCGGGCGGCCGGGAAGCTGCGGACCCGCCGCAGGGCCGCAAGGGTGTGCGTGCGGGAAACCGAGCGGGTCGGACGCTGGGCAGGTCGTCGGTGTGAGCGTCCCGGGATGCTGATGTGCGTGTGCAGGGGCCCAGGAGTGTGCTACCGCCCGCAGGTGTCCAGTACGGGGATCCAGGTGTGCTGGGGGTGGTGGTACAGGTGTGCCCCAGGGGGCTCTGCTGCCGCCCGCGGGGCACGAGTGGGTACAAGTACTCTTACCTAAGCGTGCAGGTGGGGTCCAGGCTGCAGGGTCTGCAAAGCCGGTGCACACCCAGCCCAGCCATGCCCGTGGGAGCACGCAGGTGAATGCGTGCCGACAGAGGCACGTGCCCGTGGGCTGTGAGAGCCCGCCATTGACAGATGTGTGCACAGGTGTGGCAGTGGTGCAGACTCCCAGGTGTGGACCAGGGCCCTGCAGTGTGGGGGAGCAGAAAGGGAGCAACAGGGACGTGCCTGTCCGTGCACCTGGGCCGGCAGCAGTGTGGGGAGGGACTCTGGGGCAGCAGGACGGGGTTAGGTGTGCAGCAGGGACACCAATCTGGGACGCACGAATGCCTAGAGGCACTTGGTTAGCGATCGGAGTCGGAGGGTGCTGAGGCCGGCCTCTATCTGCTGGTTCAACACCCAGTTCCAGGAAACACTTGGACAGTGACTTAAGCATATTCCATGCCTCACTCCCTCACTGGCTTCTTTCCTACAGCCACCCATGGGGGCTCTAGTCTCACCCCCGTTTTACAGACGAAGACACAGGCAGAGAGGTTTAGTCACTTGCTGAGGCTGGCACAGCCGGGAGCTAGTGAGGCGGCATTTGAATCCAGGCTGTGGCCTTGGGCCCTGTGTTCATGCCCAGAGCTCAGCGTGCCTGCTGGGGAAGTCCTAGGAGTCGGGGGGTGGGTGCTGGGAGCACAGAGGGAGCTGGGCCTGAGGTTTGGGGACTGGAGAGGGCTGTGGGTTGAGTGAGAAGGGCCGAGGGTGGGTAGGTATGGGAACGGGGTGTCCGAGGCTGTGCTGGGCCAGAGTGGGGGGACATGGCATGTGTGTTGACCTTGGGGGGACGTGACGGGGGTGCAGGAGGGGCCTTCGTATGGTTCTCTTGGAGGAAGCCCCTCAGCAAGGGACCGCCTCTTCCCGAGGCCCCAGGGTGGGTCTGTTGGTCCCCATTTTCCACCCCGAGGAATGACGCCCTGCGAGGACTCCCTGACCTCTCACCCTGGGCTTTGTGCACTCTTCATTGGGCTCAGTCTGGGGGGCCCACTTCAACCCCATGTCTCTCCACTGCCCTCAAAGCCTGTTCTCTGCACAACAGAGAAGAGCCCTCTCCAGCCGTGGTCACAGGCCCACCCTGGGTCCCTGTCTGTCCCTTCTGTGTGTTCCGCGCTGGGTCTTGGGAGATGAATTCCCCGTGGGCGTGCCCAACACTGGGGCTTTGACGGCTCGCGGATTCCTCTCCTGTGAGCGACTCCCACGCCTGCCACCCTGAAAGTGAAGGTCGAGGTGGGCGAGCCGGGTGGACTGCCCCAGGACCGAGTGGCTCCAGTGCCCAGAGGCAGGACGAGGAGCTGGGAGTCTCAGGGCTGCTGGGGGTCAGTGAGGAGCAGACCCCTGCTCCGGAGCCCTTTGGAAGCTGGAGGGGCCTGCGGGGGCCAGGGCTGAGGGCAGGCCACCCTCCAGCCCTGTGCAGGGCCTAGCTGATCTGTGCTTCTCCTCTGGCCACCGCATTCTCTCCCTCCTCCTCTGGCAAACGCTGTCCTGGTTCCCACGGCCCCTCGTCCTCAGCCCGGCCTGGCGCTGTGACTCACCCTGCTCAAGAGGCCTGGGGCTTCCCTCCCCCTGCAGGGGCAGGGCCTCCCCAGGGACACAGCCCAGGAACAGTGCGGCCAAGGCCTCCTCCACCCCAAGGCCAGGCTGATCTCCACTAGGGCCCCTACCCCTTGTGTGTTTTCCGCACGCTCTCTCCTTCCACCAGCTGACTGTGGACAGGGGGCACGGGCCCTCAGTGTCCCCGGATGTGCCCAAGGCCCTGAGGTCTGAGCCTTAAGCCTGGGTGGCAGCAGGGGTAGGGGAGGGCTGTTATTCCTGCCCCAGGCTGTCGCCAGCTCCCCGGTGACAGGTTAAGAACTTGGGCTTGTACCAGGCTGCCTGGGTTCTGGTCCCACTCCGTCACGTCCCGGCTGAGTGCCCGTAGACAAGCATCTGAATGTCCGAGCCTCCGTTTCCCCGTCGGTAATGGATTTGGGTAGTGCCAGGCTCACTTCAGCCTACATACCAGAAGCACCAGGGTTACCAGCTGTGGTCCTCACTATGTTCGCACAGGGCGGGGCCTGGTCCCAGGCAGCAGACGTGACCTGATTGGCTACAGCCCTTGCTCTCCCACCCAGCCCCGATGGCTCTGCCATGCAGGTGAACTAAGCCCCGCTGTGTGCCCAGCCCCGTGCTGTGTGCTGGGGCCCAGTGGCCACTCACAATGAGCAGGGGACAGATGAGCAGGAGGAGGTGCACCATGCAGGAAGGAGGTGGCATCGGGACCCTGGAGGGGCCCTCTAGGCTTCTGGGGGGAGGGCGGCCTTCGAGGGGAGGGGGCGTCAGACAGTGGAGCAGCCGTGAAGCACAGCAGTCTGGGACAGCGACCCACCGGGAGGGTCTGGGTTTGCATGGAGACCCCGTGTGTGGGCCCACCGTCGGGCTGGCTGGGATGGAGACCACTGGGTCACCACCTCTGCCTGGGAAGACCCAGCTCTCTTGGCATGGAAGAAAACTACTTGACACTCTCCGGGGGAGGTGGATGGCCATTAGGAGGAGCCAGGTGAAGCCAGCGGAAGGTGGCAGGGGTGCAGGCCAAAGCCGGTGCTCAGGGCTGGAGGCGGGACATGGAGAGGGCGGAGGAAACGAAGGGTGATCTGTGCAGCTGGGGGCCAGGGGCGCAGCAGGACTTACCCAGAACTTCACCGGGAAGGGTTTCCAGGGGAGCGCTGTGGTCTCCGGTCGCTCCTCTGTGACCCGGGAGCCGGAGCGTGTGTCTAGGATTGTGATATGGATCGGGGCCAGCAGATGGAGTAGCAGTTACGTGGCTGGACTCCCACGTGGGTGACCTCAGTTCAAGTCCCAGACCTGGTGGCTTCTAAACCATGCCAGGTGCACGTGTGTGCCCAAGATCCCGGGAGAAGAATGGAGACGGAGGGATTGTGGTGTGGCCATCCCTCCTTGGAGGGGGTTTCTCACTTTCCTTCTCTCTGCATCTCTGTCTCTTTGTCTCAGCAAGCACATGCACCCTACGGCAAAAACTTCTTAAAAAAATGGATTGTTGGGAACCAGCAGTTAGCGTAATGGCTATGTCGCTGGACTCCCACGTAGTCGACCGCGGTTCGTGTCCCGGACCCAGTGGCTTAAAACTCACGCCGGGCGCGTGTGCGTGCGTGCCCAAGATCCCGAGAGGAGAAGGGAGGAGAAGGGATTGCGGCGTGGCCATCCCCCCTGGGGGGTGATTTCTCGCTTTCTGTCTCTCTGTCTCTCTCTCTGTCTGGCGAGTGCACGCGCCCTATAGCGAAAACCTCTCCCCCCCCAAAAAAAGGATTGTTGTGAGGATTAAATGAGATAATACATATGAAGTGCTGGCCGTGACTGTGTATAATTGCCAGAGGGCACAATGCACTCCCAGAGACAGAGACAGAGACAGAGGCAGAGACGAAGCGGGAGAAAGCACCCTAATGGGTGTGGTCCTGCCACAGTCCCTTCTCCATGTCTCTGTCCTCCTGGGGCATGTTTTTCTCTCTTTTTTTCCTTCTTTCTGTTTTTAAATAATTATTTTATCTGGGACCGGCAATTGGCATGGTGGTTAAGGTGGCTGGACTCCCACATGACTGACCATGGTTCAAATCCCAGACCTGGCAGCTTGCTTTCTCACTTTCCTTCTCTCTCTCCAATCAACCTTAAAAATAAATAAATAAATAAATAAAGATAAGGACGATGAATAAAATGAAATAATAATTCTTTTAACAATATTGTATTTAACTTTATTTATTTTTAATTTGACCAGAAAGGGACAGAATCAGAGAGAGAGAAAAAGAGAGAGAGAGAAAGTGAGAAAGCAAACTGCTAGATCCAGGGCTCAGACTGCAGTCTCCATGTGGGGATCCAGCACCCTTAACCATCACGCCCCTGCCGGCCCCTGGAGCTTGCTTTCCAAGCCGCCAGGTGTGGGATTCGAACCAAGTAGTAGGCTATGTGAGAGCCGACTCCTTTAGCCTTCGACTACTGGGCCAGTCTCTGATCCCTTTTAACAGGGATCCACATCTTCAGACTCAGCCAGCCTTGAGCGGAGCCAGGCCCTGCTGGCTGTTATTAAGTGGGAGGGGGCTCCCCAAGCGAGCCACATTTATCTCTGAGCTCAGGTCACTCACAAGCGACTAAGAGCGAGTTTAAGTAGACAGAGAACGCGGCAGGTGATTTGCAAGCACTGCGGGGTTTTCTGTGAGGGGCAGGAGCACCCGGGGAGTTTGGGGTCTGCGGGGGTCCTGGAGCCAGTCCCCACAGACACTGAAGGACGCCTATGTTTTAGCAAGTCCCAGTCGCTGGTGACAAGGAGGCGGAGGCAGGGAGAGCAGGTGAGGGGCTGACCCTCCTTGCAGGCAGGAGCCCCCTGCTTGCCCACGTGTTTCTCGGGCACTTCCTGTGAGTCAGGCCGCCGCCTGGGCGTTGGGCAGCCGCAGACACGGGGCCTCTCGGTCTCTGCAGATGTGGCTGGCCCAATGGGTGCTGAGGGCATGGAGGGGAGCTGGCAGGTTCCGGACTGCTGCAGGCCCTGGGCCAACGGGATGGGGGGAACGCTGCTAGGGTTTGGTCAGTACCAGGATCTGAGCTGGCGGACAGGTGGGTCAGGGTGGCGGGGGGTAGGACAGGCGTTGGGGCTGGGAGATGCCAGGGGCTTAGACCCCTCTTTCCCACCCTGTCCCTTC